GAGGAAAGGAGAGTGAGAGAGAGAGATAGAAACATCAATGATGAGAGAGTCATTGATCGGCTGCCTAGCCCACAACCCGGGCATGTGCCCTGACCGGGAATCGAACCCCGATCGCCTGGATCCTAGGTCGATGTCAACCGCTGAGCCACGCCCGGCCGGGCGCATTACTAACTTTTTGTTGAGTACCCTTCCAGAAAAAAATTTTTGTATTCGTATCAACATTCATTCATTCATATATACATTCTTTCTAAAACTTTTTACTTAAAAAAATCATTTAATATACATTTGATCTAATAGTTTTTTCTTTGCAAAGAGTATGTTTTGAACAAGGTATTTAATCTATATAACCCTCAGTTTCTTCATTTGCAAAGAAAAGGAGAGGTATATGTAGCATAGTAATATATCTAGCACTGTAAAAATTTTAGAAGGAACAGTGATAAGGTAATAAGAAATAACAGATATAAATTAGATTAAATTTAATTAAGAAAATACATAGCCCAGCCAGGCATGGCTCAGCAGTTGAGTATTGACCTAGGATCCAGGAGATCCTGGTTCCATTCGCAGTCAGGGCACATGCCTGGGTTGCAGGCTCGCTCCCCAGTAGGGGGCGTGCAGGAGGCAGCTCATCAATGACAACTTTCTCATCATTGATGTTTCTATCTCCATCTTTCCCTCCCCCCCCGAAATGAATAAAAGATATATTTAAAAAAAAAAATACATAAATTTGACTAAGAACCTCAAATTACCAATCCCAAAAGTTGCACAAAACACTTCTGAAATCAGTGTATTTGACAGAACTTGTTTTAATGCATCAATTTTAACATTTGGGACTTGCCTTAGGGATTTCATTTGGAGAACACTCTATGTAGAAATTTCATCCTTATAAGAATAATCAGATCTTGAAAGTGAAAGAAATCATAGAGAAATAAGCCTTCTTATTTTAAAGTTTAAATAATCCCAAATATGTGAATCACAAAGCTAGCTAAAAAGAACTCATCCACTCCTCAGCCCACATATTCAATAATTACATTATAAATAGAAATTTGTATTATGAAAATGCTTTTTTTAGCAATGTTATATAAACTTAGGAATAGCCTGTTCTGTTGGTACTGTGCTGAGCTCTACATTTTTTGCCCATTACTTCTTTAGGAAAGGTCTAAAATAAGAAACAGCACCAGAGTTTTAAACTGTTTGTTTAGAGAAAACATTTTCCCCCTCACAGAATACCCTTAACTACCTTGTAATTGGAATATAGAAGAGTTTTTGCCACACAAAAAGGACCAGTTTCCCCAATCCCTTTAAAATTTTTTTTTACTGAAGTATGAATTATGTATGATAAAATGCACATATTTTAAGTTTATGATTTGATGAGGTTTAACTCAGGTAACCTTCACTACAATCAGTGATCCTGAACATTTTCATCACTTCAGTGGTTCTCTTGTATACGTACTTCTCAATCAGTCTCCAATCCCCATCTCTGGCTTAGGCACTGGTCTACCTTCTATCACTTTAGATTAAATTTGTCTTCCCTAGAGTTTCATATAAAGAAATGACCTTTAAGTCTTACTATCAAATTCCTTTTCTCCCTCAAAAGCCAATTTAGATATCACTGTGAAACCTTCCCTGACTTACTTTGATTATCTTCTCTGGTCTACTTTGTCCATTCATTGTTGTATTGTACATGTTTATGTAACTTACTAAACCCTATGCTCCTTGAGGGCAGGGATATGTTTTCAAGATTTATCATAGAACCTGGAACATGGTATTTAGTTGTGACTGTTATATCTCAAAAAATAAAAAATACCCCAGCAAGTAAAAAATACTGTATTAGTAGTTATAATTAATACCAAAACATTATTTATCATGTACTTAAAAAATTTAATAACTTGGGGGACAAACCCTTAAATAAAAGTTGTTTTAGGATAAAGAAATCAAAAACTTTTTTACTGATCATAAAATTGAATATTGAATTTTCAGGGAAAATACTATATGAAATGTAACTTTCTACTGTGACTTTTTTTTTTTTTTTTTTTT